ATTGCCTTCCACTTCCATAACCAGCGTTGAGCAAAGAGCCCTAATACCCGGCTTACTCAAGGTCAAATCATAGGTTATCCGAACCACCAGCCGTCGTCTGATGCTAATTCCAAAGTCTCGACGAATAACTCCCGAAAGAATCAGACGGAGAAGAAAACGGGTTCTCTTCTCAGAAAAGCTTCGAACCGCAGAGAACGCACAAATCAACACTGATAGATCCAAAACCTTCAAAACTTTTCTCGAGCTAGCATCAACAATCAGGTCCCTCAAAACAGGTTTCAGAATCAGAGCCCGACTCATAAAAGGCACAATTGCGGATATGTATACATACTTTCCTGGTCGGAACATACCCTTCGCCTTTCTCAGCAATTCGACATATCCCTCCGATTGTATCAACGAGGAACCGAACTTCCTTTTTAATACCTTCCAACTTTCCACGAACAGATCACCACCCGTGCACAAAACTCCTACGGACGAAACCTTTGAGGATAAACACTGGTCAAGAATAGAAGACAACCGGGTGGATACGAGCCCCACGGACGAGTGAAAGGTCAAATGGGTATGCACAATGCCAGAATCTACTATACCTCCCTGTTTCTTCCTCTGCCTCACCCGTTCATGTTTCCCTTTCCAGCATCACTTCTTCCTCCCCAACTTATCTCGAACATTCAAGTATGGACACAATGATTTGATCATGAATTTTTCCAAGTGCAAGACATCATCCCGTCCACAGCAGCTCAGGGGAAGCGCCACGTACTCACCTATTTTCCCCCGTCTGAGCCATCCATAAAGCTTATGGTTCCTATGTCCCCCTTCCACATTCCCGAGGCTCAGTGCCCTATAAACATGTTCACACCATCTGACGGACAAATCACGTGTAGTGGAACCCACATACATATGCCTGGACCAAGGGGAAACAAGTACATAGACTAACGGTCCTTCACACTTCTCAAAATCATAGCCATTTGCCAACAAGTTGAGTAAATACCCTTTTAACTTCTCAGCCCACGGTATTTGTCCTTTGAGTATGAGACCAATAACCAGCAATCGAAAAAACCCATTAAATGCTTTATCCCGCAGATAGAAGACCGAATTCGTAGAAGAGGAGGCTAGCTTAGCAGAAGAAGAAAATTGACTAGGAGGAGATGGTAGTGAGGGAGAGGAGTCAAGAGCAAATCCCCGTAAGCAACCCTGCCCCTTCACGTTTCTTCCGACATTCATTGGTCAATAGCCACAGTTTTGCCACGTTCGGGAAGTCTCCTCACAATTCTTCATACTTCTCGTCTCCCTCCTCAGATCTAGATGAGTCTTTTAACTCTGAATCGTCATCCACGTCCACCACCTGTTGCTTACCTTTCGAAGCAGTCCCTTCGTTACGTGCTGGACCGAAGGCTTGGTCTGCCCGGTATTCAGCCAGCTCGCAGACCATCTGTTCAACCTTGCCCGTGCGGATCCCTGCCTCCTTGCACATTGATTCAAGCCCAGCCTTCTTCAAGTTCCGAAGTTGCTTCTTCTGTTCTTCAATGAACTGGAAGCGAGCATTGACGCCGTTTGGTTGTTGCAGAGCTCCGTCGACCGATCCCCTTCCTGGTGTCGCCTTCTTCCCTCTCCGAGCGGATCCAAGTGCCGCCGCTTCCAAGCGCTCTTTTAAATTAGTTTGACCTTTCTCTCCCTCCTTCCCCATGTCCGCAGCTTTGAGCCAACTCATCTTTTCCTCCAGCTCCTTAACCTGCTTCTCTGCTTCCATTCTCTTAGCCTCCGCCACGGCCCTTTTCTCTTTAAGTAATTATGCTTCAACGTTAGCCAGCCTATGTAGACCCTGCAACTTCTTATATTCTTCTCTCCATCTGTCGTCCTTCCTCACGTTGTCAGTCCATCGAGGTTTTGGAGAACCCCGATCTGGCAGACCCGGAGTGTCTATCACCACACTTCCACGCTTGTTGCCTGGTCGTAGGGCTTCGTCCTTCCACAATCTTGTTTCCTCTACCGCCTTCTCATTCATTCGTCGCAGCGAGTCCACCTCCTTTCTTAAGCCAGCGATCTCCTGCTCGAAGTTCGTCTTCATAAAGGCGGACTGCTTCAGCTCCCCGATCTCCTGTCTAAGCATGAAGATCTCATCATTATCCGTTTGTTTATTACCTACCAATTTTCGCAGTTCCCGAATCTCGTTCTGCAGCTTGGAGATGCCGTCCCCATCCCTCTGACTCGTTCCTTCTCCACTTAGTTTCTTCTTTAACGCCTCATTCTCCTGTCTAAGCCGTGCCAGTTCGACACGTTCACCCTCCCTTGCAATACTTCCTTCCCCACTCAATTTCTGCTTCAACTCCTCATTCTCTCTTTTTAAGCGTGACACCTCTCCCTCCATCGAATAGCTACCGCCAATCTCATTGATTCTTCAGAGGAGCTCATCATTCTCCTTCTTCAACCGTGCAACCTCATCCGTTTGCCTTGTCCCACATGGCTCATCCCGTTTTTTCAAGCCGAGCTCTTCAAATCTTTTATCCAGCCTAGCTGCCATCTCTGCCTCGAGGCGCTCCCTTTCTTTTCTCCATTCGTTGCGCTTATCTTCTTCTTCTTTCCTCATCTTCTCCTTCTCCTCGCTCTCCCTCCGTTTCCTCTCACTCTCCTCGTCTTGTACAAATTTGTTATACACTTTGTCCAGACGCACTTGATTGTCCTACTTGGCGCAGGAAGAGCAAGCAGTGGAGTTGCATTAGCCCCCGTAGCAGGAGGTCGGAATCCATACGATCGCTGCGGGCACTCTCTACTCCAATGGTTCAACGCTCCGCATGTAAAGCACCCTTGGTTAGGTGGAGCACCCGCCATACCTCTGCAACACTTAGAAAATTACACGTGTAAATAACGTCTCAATTTCGTACAAGCAAAATGATATAACGCCACAAGTCACACGCACGTAGTTCAATTGCTACGGCGGTTCCAACGTTGAATAGATGGTTAGTGCGCAAAGCATACACATCCACGCATATCATAAGCAATACGAGCTTGGAACGTCGACCACAGTAGCATAGCAATCAATTCGACCTATAAGGCCTATCTCACACCATACATCAACACTAACGACTGAAGACCGCGTGTCAAGATTGCCAAGCAGGAAAAAAAAGGAAATAGAAGGAGAGGGTAAGGAGGTAGAAGGAAGGAAGAACAAGCAACAGAAGAGAAAGAAGAAAGAAGAATGACACGTCAGATCCCGAACGCGACCGAGCTCGAATTAAAAAACATGATACACGTTGTTCCCAAGGTCCAATCGTAGGTAGGCATTACGCCTGTTGTCGTCAATCTCAAAGCTGGACTACGGCGCATGACCCTACGCGTTTCATCCGTTCACCGTTACCGGAATCATCAGGGGTCTTCATCACGTAAGGTGCCAACTGATGCGTCACTCAAAGTATTTAAGCAAGGTTGACCCTACGCGTCCCTAAGGACATCAATCACGTCTATCGACTACGTTATCTTCTAAAAACTTTTAACGTCAGCCTGAGGGTCTCGATTCACTGCTCAGCATTCTACGTGCACTTGGACATCTTTCTCCACAAGGTGCATTTTGATTACATCGGGACGATGAACAAACTCTCGGCACATATATAGTGTTCTGCAGTGGAGCGAGCCCCATTAAAGTCTCTTTCTTCTTCTTCTTCTTCTTCTTCTTCTTCTTCTTCTTCTTCTTCTTTTTATTTTTCTTCTTCTTCTTCTTTTTAATTAAAAAAGCCTTGGGTGTAGATTTTCAATCTCCAATCTGGAAGACTCAAAATCAACAATCAAACGACGTGTGAATGTGTGCGCAACGGCGTGACTATATTGGTGTACTCCCCCACCCCCCTCCTCCTTTTTTCCCCTTCTTTCCGTGCTCATGCTCAGGCAATTTAGCCCGACGTTCTCTCGCTCTCACTCTTCTATCACGTGCTGTCGAGCAACAAGTGGCTTCAAAAAAGGAGACGGGAATAGAGTCCCCCCCCATTTGTTGGTTCACCCCCCCTCCGCCCCCTGAACTGTTGAAATACAGACTAAAGTATGAACCCAGAGACCGTCAGGGCCGAGGGCCAACTAGCAAAGTGGATAGGATCGAGCTCCCGAATCTGGATGTGTTTTATGCAGAGATGCAGAAAAGCAGTTCAATCTCGATGTCCTCCACATCTCGGAGGCGAACTGCCCTACCAACGGGCCGGGGTATTGTGCAAAGTTGCCCACGCGGTATGGAGGGCAAATGGGACCATCGTATTTACGATAGGGTATCTGGCTGATGCCGTTGTGGTACAGCATATTGAGTCCAATTACTACCTTGGTTTCTACGTCACGCTATATCTATAATTTTTTGGAGTCTTAGTGGTTCTGACCTCCCCTCTGTCGTTGGTTCATTTTAATATTCTGGTGTGCCATTGTATTTGGTCCTGTTTGAGAAATTTGGCTGGATTCCCTGTTTGGCTACGTGTCTATAGTAGAAGTGGATGATTTTTTGAGTGTCGGAGCTAGCAGTGGTACGGCCTTTTCGAAGGTCTCCGAAACGATACTTTTCTAATTTTCTGTTCCATTTTCACTTAGGACCCTTTACTTTTATATGTATTTGCCTAGTTTTAGGACCCGATACATTACCTGCTTTCCTCGGAGTTGCCGACTGGTTTCAGTGGTTGAGCTGTGTAGGTGCTTTACGACGCAGTATCTTCTACTTTGTCTTTTATGTTTTTAGTATATTAACTAGCCTAGTTGATGACTTTGTTACCTGCGTCAACTACGGCCCCTAATGAGACTGCTTCGGCGGAGCAGTCGAAAACGGTCGGGTCTTCAAGTCGCATTCGGGGAACTGGTTTTTGACTTGGCTTTTCTTCTTCCTCTTCATCTTCGTTACCTCCTCCTTTCCCTCTCGTCCATCATCCTTCTCTGCTATTTTGACTTCGTTGACGGTGTTTGTATGTCTGCTTTCGGTCGCTTTCGTTGACCAATCAACTTGTACATCCGGAGTAACTCACGTAGGGATTACACTATGTTGGCGTGGCTTCGACACTTGCTGTCGTCCACATGGCGTCCAATCTGCAGACGTCTACCATCATTCGGACTTGCTACAATTGTGGAGATCCTGGGCATTTCTCTCGTTGGTGTCCTCATCGTAATGGAGGGCAGACCTTTGTCTCCCAACCTCTCCTTACTCTTCCTTCTAACCCCGCTTCTCTTCCGTCTTCCTCCTCTTCTGATCCCGTTTTGTCTGGGCAGTTTCGAAACAATGGATGGTACGAGGCCAAACAGCGGTTGATCCTGCTAGAGAACACTGTAGCTGAAATCAAGTCACGACATGATGCAGAGGTGGAGAAAGAGAAGAACCTTAAGGAGGAAGAGGATAGGAAGAAGAGGATTGTTGAAGATAATGAACGACGAGAGCAAGACCGTAAGGAACGAGAAGATATGCACAAGCGGATGATGGATGATATGAATGAGAAGTGGGAGAAGAGGTGTGGGAAGATGAAAGATAAGAAAGATGATTCCAAGGGGTTATCTGAGATGGAGTTGTTGAGAAGAGAGATCGAAGGGCTTAAAGGTCAGATGGTTGGACCTGCAGCCTCTACGTCAACTCAACGTGCTACGACCGAAGGTGATGAAGTAGTAAGACAGCTGCTAAAAGAACAAGAAAACATGAAGGCAAGGTTGGAAGAGTCTTTGGCTTCCCAGAAACGATTGGAGAATTTGGAAGCTGAGATGGATCTGATGCGCACCATGCGGGACGAAGCTCTCCAGGAGGTCGAGACTTGGAAGAATGAAGCGCTGCGTCCAGGCAACAAACGTGGCTGCGCAGCGGTTACTCCTTCGTCGGTTACGCGCACTCAGTCCAAGACGAATACAGAGTTTGCTGGCATGGTACATCGTTATTCCTTGGAGGTTGAAAAATTGAAGGAGCTGCGTATCCTTGACTTCAATACTAGGAGGGAAAAAGAACAGGACAACGAAAAATTGAAGATTGCTATGAACGAAGCACAAAAGGCGTCAATGGAACGAGAACAAGAGAACGAACAACTCAAAACTGCGATTGCCAATTTAGAAGCCGCACAACGTGAACCCTATACCAATCTCCGACGGAGGATGGATGAGATAGCCTCTCGATCTACAGGCCTGACGAAGAAGAAGACTGTTACCGACCCTTTGACTGCACGTGCTCTGGACTCTGGAGAAACAGCAGTTTGTCAAAGATCAACGCACGGACCTTGCTAACAAGAAGAAGGACGAGATTACGGAGCTCTGTCTGAAAGAAGGTTTGAATCATGCCACGATTAAGCAGTTGGTGGAAGACATCATCCAGGCTCGTGTTCTAAAGCTTATTCCGATGCTGGTAAGGTTGTTTTGGAGGTATCGGAGGATTCTGCTGGACCCTCGGACAAGGGGCCGCCAGCAAACGTTGAGGATGCTACTTCTTAGGATCCTCCCCGAATGCGGCTTCCCTTTGGTCGATTGTTGTTTCTTGCTCCCGTTTTAGATCTGCTTCCTCTCAAAATCTCAGGCATAAAGGGGTAGGCGAGTTGTTTCAACTGATTGTGTTATTGCTTGTCTTGACTGGTTGTGTCCTATGGGCACATAAATTGACTGGACACGTATGTGATTGGTGGAGTGTTGCTAACTCTGATTTTAATACTCGACGGTGTGTAGTCTATGTCCTAATTTCCCCCTGGTGTCGTAATCTTTATGTCGGAAGTACGAGTCGAAGTCTTGATGAACGGTGGAGAGAACATGTGTACCGTTCCTGTAGCCAGACGATGGATAATAGTAGTCTTCATAATGAAAAACTTTATCGTTGAACTTGGAGATTCGGTATTGACCGGTTTGCTATTATTCTTGTTTATTTTTTTGATGAAGAAGACCGGTTACGATTAGAGCATTATTTCATTAAATTGTTTGGTGCCTCACTCAATTCTACAGGTAAGAAGAAGAATCGCAAACGTCGACGTCCGGGTAAACGTGAACGCTTGAAACGATCTAAAGCAATTTCTAGTGGTCCTTGCACGTCTGTCCCCCTCTGTTTTTTGCCTCCTTTACAACCAGCTGCCTGTTCGTCCTCTTTGCTTCGTTTTCATTCTTCTGCTGGTATCATATCAACTAGTCTTTTACGCATTCTGAATCATTGTGTCGAGTTGAATGTCTCCTCTTGCTCCGTTGTCTGTCGTGGTGGTACGATTCGAGAAGATAGTTGGAAGCTTCTGAAACGTTGTTTCGGCTCGTCTGTTGTTTCATGTGATGGAGTTACTGATCAACTTAGTTCCTCAAAGGGATGTCTACGTAATGGAGCCTTCCTATCTTTTACTTTGATTACTCCTTTTTGTCAAAAGTTTCTTCGCCTTAAACCTCTTCTAGCTAGCTTGTTGAGCAATCCCAGTCGGAGACGTTTTCTTGTTGAATGGGAATTTAGCGATTTGATTTCGTTATTCTCTGCTATTCGTCCTTTCCAAGAAAAACGCAGTAGAAGCAGACTACGTGTAATCCTGTCAAGAGCTATCTCTTCTAAGTTTGATCTTCCAGTTCACCAACGGCTCGTTGTACGTGTGAAATACGACCATCGATTATGTAAGACCGAGATTCGTAAGATCTGTGGCCATTTAGTACACACTCTTGATATCTAAGAGGATTGGAAGTGAATGATCATCCGACGTATGAGAGGCATTGAGAGTTGTATAATGCAAGAATCAATCCGTTGGTGACATTTTACATAATTTTCGTTCCTTCTCTTGACGATCTGAAGCGGTTTATTGTTGTGATCAGTTTAAAGATCGGTTTCCAAGGAACAATGATCATGTCTCCTTTTGCTTAAGTTAATATGATTCTTTTCCCTCTTGGACTAAGAACTCGAAGAATGTCCTGCAACCGGACGTTACCAACCCTCTTGGTGCTCTCAAGAAACATATTCTTCATTTTTTCCATGATTTTCATCACTCTTGTGATCTTCAATCTTCTTCTCTTTCACTTCGAGATCTTGGTTGTTGTCTTATTGCTTCTGTTGAATTTCGTGATTCCCCTTCGGTAGATCAGCTTGGATGTATTAAGCAGCAACTAGATGGACTAGTGTGTACACCGATTGACCACAATATAGGTGATACTTTTGTCTGCAACCCAGTCATCTATAACAAAGGAATGAGGAGTCTTTTTTCTGATAACCCCGCTTTCGTTGATGTTGAGGACTCGGAAAAGTCAGTCATTTCGTCGGTCAACGCTTGGGTTTGCGAAAATTGGGAATTGGTGTTCCGATGCCACCTTCGGTAACGCGTACGGGATTCCGAAACATAAAGATGTTCAATGGTGGAGACCCATCTATCGTTCGTAGATTGAAGGATCTGCACTCAGTGGTCGGCGCATGGCATATGCTGTTAATGAGATGTTGTAGAAGTTACCTTCTGAGATGCACTTCAATTTGAGATGTACCAGTCAACTTTTGTCTGGTCTGCAAACTGCAGCTGATGAATGCTAAGAAAGAAAAAGATGATTCGTTTGTTGGAGCTTCCTATGACATTAAAGAAATGTTTTCTCATCTACCTCACGATTCGATCATGCGGGTTTTACGATGGGTTACTTCCTACGAGGACTCTTCCTCCTATTCTGGTGTGATGATAAAAAAACGAGGAAGAAAGCTCAGTTGACCCGTGGCAAAGGTGAAGAAGGGTGGATTCTAATTCGATTCTCTGTCATTCTTCAATATGTTTCTTTCGAACTCTCTCATACTTTCATCCGTGCTCAGGATAAGCTGTTGAAGCAAGTCGTGGTATTCCGCCATGCGTTAGCATGCCTGTTATGCGCATATTATGAGTTTATGCATCTTCAGTCACTTGGCAATGATAGAAGTTTAATCTAGGGGTTTCGCATCGTCGACGACATTTCAGTTTTTGTTCACTGTTCGAAGACCAATGACGGTGACTCAACAAAGGCAAGATTACTGCAACGATCTTTCGAACACTGCTACGACGAGAATGTCAAGCTTGAGCAGACTAGCTGCGGTGATGTGCGGGACTTCATTGGTTGTGTAGTTAAGATATGTCAATCAACTGGAAATGTTGAGTGTGTTGCCATGACCAAGAATCAAGGATTTGACAGGATCGTTTTTCAAAGTATCTAGGATTTTGTGTCGTATTCTAGTAAAAAACAAAAGATGGCGGTCATCTCTTCATTTCTTCACCGCGCCCGCACTTATACATCTGTCCTTGGTATGAAGCTGATTTTCCTATTTGCATTGCAACGAGAATTGTGGTGACGAGGCTATCCGGACCGCTTTTTTGATAAGGCAGTCTGCATTTTTTCATTGAAACATGGTGGTTGTTGGAAGGAGTGGCTTTCAGTCCTCACTAACAGGAACAAGTGGTTTTGGTTTAGAGTTGATTTTTTTTTTTTTTCCCGGCTTATAAACTGTGGGACCATCGTATTTACGATAGTGTATCTGGCTGATGTTGCCGTGGTACAACAATATTGAGTCCACTTACAGTGACTTACTACCTTGGTTTCTACGTCACGCTGTATCTGGTATATATGTTTTTGGAGTTTTAGTGGTTCTGACCTCCTCTCTATCGTTGGTTCGTTTTAATATTCTAGTGTGCCATCGTATTCTGTGGACAAGTGGTTTTGGTTTTGAGTTGTTCCTTTTTTCCGGCTTATACACTATAGGACCATCGTATTTACGATAGGGTATCTGGCTGATGCCGCTGTGGTACAGCATATTGAGTCCACTTACTACCTTGGTTTCTACGTCACGCTGTATCTATATTTTTTTGGAGTTTTAGTGGTTCTGGCCTCCCCTCTGTCGTTGGTTCATTTTAATATTCTGGTGTGTCATTGTATTTGGTCCTGTTTGAGAAATTCGGTTGGATTCCCTGTTTGGCTACGTGTCTACAGTAGAAGTGGATGATTTTTTTAGTGTCGGAGCTAGCTGTGGTACCGCCTTTTCGAAGGTCACCGAAACAATACTTTTCTAATTTTCTGTTCCATTTTCACTTAGGACCCTTTACTTTTATAGGTATTTGTCTGGTTTTAGGACCCGATACATTACCTGCTTTCCTCGGAGTTGCCGGCTGGTTTCAGTGGTTGAGCTGTGTAGGTTCTTTACGACGCAGTAGCTTCTACTTTATCTTTTCTGTTTTTAGTATATTAACTAGCTTAGTTGATGACTTTGTTACCTGCGTCGACTACGGCCCCTGATGAGACTGCTTTGGCGGAGCAGTCAAAACCGCTCGGGTCTTCAAGTCGCGTTTGGGGAATTGGTTTTTGACTTGGCTTTTCTTCTTCCTCTTCATCTTCTTTACCTCTTTCTTTCCGTCTCGTCCATCATCCTTCTCTGCTATTTTGACTTCGTTGACGGTGTTTGTATGTCTGCTTTTGGTCGCTTTCGTTGACCAATGAACCAGGGCCCAGGGCCCAACGATGTGGTCCGGATTGCAAATTTGCACATGGGCCTGACAGGGGCAAAACGCAAAGAATTAGGTCAAAAAGGGCATTCCACTTTACCCACATCTTTTAGGGGCATTCTAACATATATCTCAACTTATAGGGGGTTTTCGCAAGTTATCTCTTTTTCTTTTGTTTTTAAAAGGAACATCGATCGGGGCACACCTAGTATAGACAGGTAGAAGATCCCATGCTGGAAACCGGACCCAAAGTCCCATTATGATAGTACTGTTTAACACGATTACCCCGTTTTTTTTTTTTTTTTTTTTTTTTGATTGGACATGCTCCAATCTATTCATCGGGAGCAAAACGTGCTGGGAACCGGGCCCAACGTCCCATTCAAAAAGTTAACATATTGAGCGGATTATGTAAAAAACTTTGAGTTACCGGGGCCATTACCCGGCTTCGGCTAAAGATGATAGCTATGTAACCTACACAGAGAGTTAGGTTTTCTAGAGATTGATCATGGGAATATTCATACCGAAAACCACCTGCCTTTAGCAATTGTCAGCAACTCAACCCTATCCGCCTGTCCCCTATACCCTGATACCCAATCTTTTCTAGGCATCCCACCCCCAACTGCTAGGTTACAGAGTGGCATGACCCACCCAAGAGACCTCCCACCTGCTAGGCTACACGACAAAGCGGCCCGCCCCGGCTCCGACCAACGTCGACTAAGTATCAGTTCACTAACAGACACTAGAGTGCCTTCCACCCTCGACAACTCCCCAGATCTCTCTACCAGGTCTCATGCCCCCGTACTGCTCAGGTTACAGGGCACCGCGACCAAACCCCAACACCGACCAGCGTTGTTCTGACCTCGTTCATTCGTAAACCACTAGGACCTAGGACATCAGCA